GAATAAAAATCCAAACAGTTGTTTAAAAGTAATAACGGTTACTGTGTTTGTTTGTTTTTAAATTTTTTGAGCTGTCACAGCAATTGTGTGCACTCAGTCTTTCTGCTATTGAGTAGTGTACGATTTCAACGACGCCACGTTACTGACTCAGTGTCATATACCTAGCAAACATTTCAGTAGACGATATCTGGATAACTTCGCCCGATCATTGGAAAGCTATGTATTCGTCAAAGTGTGAATGAGAAGAAGTTCGGGATAGCTCACATTATCGTTTCACAAACTTGTAAGAATTTTAATTGGGAGAAACAACTAAACGAGGATTCAGTAGTATCCGTCCAAACGCAACTGCAGCAGTGGACAACCGGTATATCATCGAGAAGGAACAGACAGCAGAAAGACACATGCAACAAAACAAATCACTAGACGTCTAAAATGTTTTACCCTGGCAAAGAAAATACGTAATAATGATCAACTTTGTGACAACCAGTATGGTGTACCATCAACAACTTTTACCATTAAAATTTGCTAATTAGAAACGGCGTTTTCTGTGATGCTGGTGACACCAAAACTGTATATAAGCAATGGAACCGAGCATTAGTACCAAGAATTATTCTTTACGGATGCCGGGAACACCAAAACTAGATCTAAGCAATAGTACCAATTCTTTACGGAAGAAAGTATGCATGACTACCGATTTTAGAATTATACTCATCTGACGGAAAAAAGAAGTTTTCTTTTAAGGGGGAATCCGAGGAATACTGCGGACTAGAAGTGCCCGTCAGGTAGGAGTTGCGATGGTGCCTGAAAGGATGCCTTGAACACGATTAATACATCACTGTTCTGTCTAGAGCAAAGGAGGCTTGAGAGAAGTAATAGGCACTTGGTTCCAAAGTCAGTGAACAATTTCGACACATGCCGGATCCTGCTCTGCACTCAGCAGAGCATACGCAGCAACTCTATACCCAACCAGAGACCGATCAAGACAAATTCAAGCCCAAGGGCCGCAAAATTTTCCAAGCCCCTAACAAAATATTTAGTCCTAGCAATAAAAAGAATCTATTGAGCTACATGATTCAAGAGAAACATTCTAAAAAAAATTTGATAGCAGACAATTGAAGAGTATTTTTTTAAGATAAAGTTTACGACAAACAATGTTGCATGAAAATAGAAGTAGTTTGATGACCACAAACAATTGAAATCAGTGATTTTTGCTAAAAGTCACTGATTAGCTGAATTAGTATTTTAAAGATTGTAGCCTTCCATCCACAGCTTTACATATTTGATGACATTAAGCTTTTAGTTCTTGTTTATCTATAAGAGACTTTGCGAATGCGCATTCTCGTTGTATTTGCTTAAGCCGTTGGAGTAAATATTGCACCAATTAAAATTCAGCTGAACTTTTGAATTTGATCAGAGCAACGTTTACACGAGTTTGGTTTATCACAATATAAAGAAAATTTGAAATAAAAACATGCTGTTTTTGAAAACAACTGTTTCTTTCAGTATTTTTAAAAAAAGCAATATTGTGAACTTTTTACTAATTTTTGAGGCCCTCCTTCCCAGAGAGTGTGGCCCTAGTCCCGTGTCTATTGGGCCTAGGCGATAATCAGGCCTTGTACCCAACCGAAAGGCCTGCAAGCAAACACCATCGAACAACTTTATTTAACACAAAAAATCATAAAATTATTACAAGCAAATTTAACATATTTCCAAAATTTACAGTAAAAATCAAGGATCATAAAATAGAAAAATACAATAGTGAATATAAAGTCATAAAAATACAGTAGAAGTTACACATATATTAACAATGATTACTGTTTTTCAATTTAACAGACTAGAAGTTATATTTTTATCTAGCATATTGTGATAAACTGTAGTATAGTACAATAGTAGTTATAGTTTTGTCTGGACATGTATGTAATATAGCTGTTCTCGTTTAGGTGGTATCTCCTCGAAGCTATTATATCGACGTTCCTCTTCTTCACATGCGTCTTTTTAATATTGATATGAGTAGTCAGTTGGTAGCTTAAGTTTAGACAAGGCTAATTTTTTATAATTTAAAATTCTTATTTTTGCTTTCCTTTTAATTCGAACATATCTAATTGATGTTAGTTCAAAGTGTTACTGTACAATTTTTATTTTGAATTATGTAGTGATATATTAAATAAATCAAACAATTATTACTCCTCCCCCAAATAAACTGCTATATTTTTTTTATTTTTTTTTTAAAAAAATCTTGATTGTCGCCACTCTGAGAATGCATATATGACTCGCTCGTCAACCCTGCCACAAAAAGAGGTCTATACAGGAAAAATAAAAGAAAAAAAATAGTTATACGTATTTTTTATACCATTTGAACAGACATTTCTCACACTTATCTGCCACTTCAGCTTTAAAAAAGCGCTTTCTTTGGATTGATGTTGGTACGGACATTTTTCATTTATAGTCTTGCCTTTGAACAACGAGAATTATGACAGTATAATACTGAGTTTTTACACCAATTCCAAACATACATGTTTATATTATTATTTTATTATGATAGACCAGCTCATCTTATTTCTGCAAAATAAATTTGAATTATGAAAAACTTGATCTACTACGTTTTTCATTAGTAAAGAAATGAACCTTCCTTTTAAAAGAACGCTAGGCACAGATTGTTTAAAATATCAAGTAAGAAATATTTTTAAAAAATTATATAGCTGTAAAACATAAATAATTCACTAACAAATTTGATATTTTTTAACCAGGTATCAAGTGGTGTATAACATCACTAGCTAACGGAAATATAAAATAAAAATATTTTTCAAAAATTAGATAGCAGTAAAATATAAATAATTCAGTAACAAATTTGATATTTATTTAACCAGGTATCAAGTGGTGTATAACATCACTAGGTAACGGAAATATTAAATAAAAGTATAGTTTAAAAATTAGAAAGCAGTAAAATATAAATTATTCAGTAACAAATTTGATATTTTTCTTAACCAGGTATCAAGTGGTGTATAACATCACTAGGTAACGGAAATATTAAATAAAAGTATATTTTACAAATTAGAAAGCAGTAAAATATAAATCATTCAGTAACAAATTTGATATTTTTTCAACTAGGTATCAAGTGGTGCATAATATCACTAGCTAACGGAAATATTAAGTAAAATTATCTTTTTAACAAATTAGATAGCAGTAAAATATAAATAATTCAGTAACAAATTTGATATTTTTTCAACTAGGTATCAAGTGCGTATAACATCACTAGGTAACGGAAATATTAAATAAAAATATTTTTTTAACAAATTAGATAGCAGTAAAATATAAATAATTCAGTAACAAATTTGATATTTTTCTAACTAGGTATCAAGTGGTGTACATTATAAAAGAAATATTTAATAAATATACTGGAAGCCGAGAAGTATAAGTATCTAGTGCACATTGACCCTGCAAAAAATCTTGCCAAAATCAGTAACAAAGTGCGATTCAGCCAACTCGATGTCACGCGTAAGTATATATCACATCATTTAATCGAGAAGCTTACCAGTTTCACATTTGTATCAAGTACGCAGGAATCGCAGTGTGTATATTGAAAATAAAATAGTGGTAGGAAGATTATGACATCTTCCGTCTATTTTTGGATGAAACGAAGTGTTGTAACTACCACTACATGTTAACAATTTTAAGTTATGACATTCAGTTATTAAACTGTACTTGATGCTTGTTGGACTATCTATCTCTTAGCTTATACTTTTTGCAGGGTTGCCACAGGTGATGAAAATTGCAAAGAGTGCTAACAATTAAAATTAGCAACTTTTAGAAGCATATTTTCTTCAGTTTACTATAGTAAGTGAATGTTAAAAAAAAATTTTTTTTTAAATTTTGTATATGACTAATATAAAGTTAAATAATAGTGCTACATACGACTAAATAATTAAAGAGATAATAAATAAATAAAAATAATTGGAATTGAGTTTCTACCACTTTCTACATAAATACTCACCTGTGGTATCCCTATTTTGCTTGTCGTTGACAGATTTTTGTCACTCTCGCGTAAGTGTGTTAACAGTTACATATATTTTCTCTATTATTTTCTATTACACCAGAGTAAATTTTAATAGTATTCTGACCCCTGTAATTGTAATATCCTAATCTAGTTTAATCTCAATTATCTTGAATTTCCTATAGATTTCATCATATGTTCAACCTACTGGTTTCCACACATGACTTTACTGTTTGGTGCTTGGCACCCCTTCTCCCCCAATTCTACCCCCACCGCATGCAGAAAATATATAACAAAGACAATATTAGACTTAAAATAAATTTTGGTATAAGAAATGAAATTTCTGAACGGAAGAAAAACATTTCCACTGCATCTACGAGAAGCATTCATTAATTCTTCACTGTGTCAAATTTTGTCTTTGATAGAAATGTAAAAATCAATTTTTAAAAAAAAGACTTACTAAAAGGCACCGGCGAGATTCGAACTCACGATCTCCTGTTTACTAGACAGGCGCTTTAACCAACTAAGCCACGGCGCCGCGTTTGTTCTTCACCATGTTTTAAAATTTTTAAAAAAAGGTGTGTTTTGACTAAGGAACATCTTGATTAATTTCATGCTATTTGAATTTTGCTTGCTCTTGCTCTCATCTTTTTGTAATACAGTGTTAAGTTTTTTTGGATTAAGCTTCGAGCCATTATATCGTATACACACATTCCCCCATAATATGTGTCAAAAACCTGACGAATCAGTTTATGTCGCTTCGCGGCAGCGCGCTGAGATTGAAACTATGTTCTAATGATCACTGTGTTATTTTTAAATATAAACGAAATCTAAAAGCTAAATATTTCGGGAGCTTTAAATCAAATTAAAAACTTTTGTTTGTTAGTTTAAAGTAAATTAGCCACCACCTAATAATTTTTATAGGATAACGTTACTACTGCTTGCGCATATTTCGCTCAAGTTAAAAATAAAACGAAGATTGTTCTGTAGTAACTGCACTGCGTAGAACATGCGTAAGTATAAGAGCGGGATTAAATGTGAAAATGCTAAGCTTCTCAAATATTTATTCCGATATACAATACCTTATTTTATGTTGTTAGGCTTAAAACTTATTTATTTAAAAAAATTGGTGCCTTTAAAATTTTATGCTATTATATAATTTTATTGATGAACAAAAAATAATTTTTAAGTGTTATTTTAAAAACTGTTAGATACTTAAAAAATACATGCTTATTATTTTCTTATTATTGAAAATATTAATAGGCAATACTTAAAACAGAATCACTTTTGAAGCAAAAAACAATTATGGAGCACATCTCACAATTTTTTTAAGTAATCCACATTAAAAAGAGATCTATGAGTAGAATCAAAGATTTTTGAAGTTTAAATTTGGCCCCTTAATTAGAGCTTGTGAGCAAGTGGGGTATTTAGTTTTAAATCCAGCTTAGTCCGTTTTTGAAATTGCAGAATTGTATAAATTTTGACATCTTTTTATAAAACATATCAGAAACCAAAAATTTAAATAAAATTGGTCAAATTCTTCTTGGAGAAAAGAAATTTTATTACTCTATTTATTTTAAATTTTGTGTTTTCACATTTAAAATTCAATGACAAAAATTGAATTAAAAGTTTGCATACCTTTCAATTTAAATTTTCGACAATTGTTAAATTAAATAATGAAGAAGAATAAATAATTAGGGGAGAGTAGGGTAGCCCCGCCCACTTAAAGAGTATTGCTTATATTTCTGTATAATATTGAGTAATAACCAATATTTTTGTATGTTTCTATTGTTTTATCATCTAATTAAGTAATGCAAAAAGAATAAACCGGAAAAAGAATAGTTTAACTTAAAAAAATAGAAATTTAAAAAAACATGTTTTTCAGCTCTTATCAAAATGTGTCGGATTCAGGTAGCCCCGTCCAGTTACAAAAATTATGTTTTTTGACTGTTTTTTCAGGTGTAAATGAAAATGACCAATGTATTGACAATAGATAAACCTCATTTATCATTTTTATCACAAAATTCAACCGATTTTTCTTAATTTCATGACTACTGTATTCAACATATTTTCAAGACTATTGTTTACCATGTTACCAGCTGCATAAATGCTTGAAACTTTGAAAATAATCATTTTTTTAATCTAACAATTAATGTCCGATGTCCCATTGACTTGAAAAAATATTCTAAACATATGAAATTGACAGTGGGCGGGGGTACCCGACACTCCCCTATTTATATAAGGGTTATTAGTCTCGGAGATCTATCTTTTGGATTATCCTTAGATAATAGTCAGTTACATAATTGCGTAAAAAACTTTTTAATTCTCTTGATTAGTTCAAGAATCTCTCCCAAAGTTGGGAACGATCTTAAAAGATAAATTAGAGAGCTTCTTTGGATTGGAAATTAATGCAAAATAGTTGATTCGCTGTGCACATGCAGTGCCCACGCTAAGCATTCGCTACCTCGCAAAAATGCGATAAAATCGTAAATTTGGCGAATGAAATTGTGTTTTGGAGAATGATTTTTTCCACCGGAAAGAAAAATATATGTAAAAAGTTGTTAACAATTGTAATTTTGCATAGACTTTCGAAAATTGGAGAATACTTTAGATATTTGGCTAATTTACTGGCTAATAATTTGAAATCCTTAGCGCGGCCCCTGCACATGCGTTGTATTATTATATTTAAATTCAACGGTTTTTCAAATTTCCAATGCATTTTGTGAACTATATGTGTAAAGATATAGCAGGACTAAAGTTAAGTGCAGTTTATCAAATGCATTATATAACTGCTTATGAACTTATATTACCATGTTCTTCGCGTTCTTTACTTGCTAGATATTGTTCGAGGCTTGGAAAAACATTTCGTTTAAAACTCTAGTTACTTTGTGTCTTGCTATATTAAATTCCGATGATTAGATCAAAAGTTATTAATATGTTCTGCTTCCTTAATTGTTTTCTTGTTATCTTAAGCTTGCTATCTTATTATCTTAAGGCTCACTTTAACTTTTTGACAGAAAATGATAGCTGGATTCAAAAGGGAGATGCATCACACTTGGAAGAAGAGACCACCACCACATTCATTGTGCGAGAGGAGGAGGTAGTCATCGTTGTACTCGTCCTCGTCGTCTGGGTCTGCGTCATTGTACTCTTCTTCAACAAGTGGGGAAAGATACGCATGCTGGAACCATACCAACCACAATATCATTCGCATCCTGTTATCGCCAAACCGAGTCGCCTGCCCCTTAATGATGCTCTGGCTCCTCTTGAACGATTCAACCTGGAATTCGGTGACGCGCCTACCCCCTTTCTCATTAACACAATGAGGCCGAGGCAGAACTCGGTGTTTGTTTACAGCCCTTATCGTAGCAGAAGTGGTTCTGTGCTCTCTGAACCTAGAATGCCTCGAAAGGTCAAAAGTGCCGAGGATATAAAGTCAATGGTAATACAAGTCGGTGAAAACGATGGTCTTCAACAATCGACTGCTCTTTGAAGACTAGTATCTGTTGATTTTCCGTCGAACCCCGTGGTATTTGAAATCGTCCCCCTTCAGCTGAAACAATGAAAAAAGTTATAAATTTTATTTAATGGTTCAAGTTGTTTATAAGTATTCAAAAAGAGTTTAGAAGTTTACAAATGGAACACTGCGGAAAAAAAAGTTTAACACGTTGGGCGCCGGGTCAGCCACCGGTGGCTGACACTGAAATTACATTTAGACCGCGTCAACCACCGGTGGCTGACACTGAAATTACATTTAGGTTGCGTCAACCACCGGTGGCTGACACTGAAATTACATTTAGGCCGCGTCAACCACCGGTGACTGACGCTGAAATTACATTCAGGCTGCGTCAACCACCGGTGGCTGACACTGAAATTACATTTAGGCTGCGTCTGCCACAGCTTGCTGACACTGACCTTTCACATAAGCCGCGAAAAACAGCTGGCTGACAGCGTATAACATGATATAGAACTATAAAATTTACACTCTTTTATGGAATTGCAGAAAATTTATTCAAAATTTACTTAATTATTGTGATTCTTGGTTTAATAAATTCAATTTAGTAGATTTTTAACCACCACTATTTCTACATAATTCGTTGGCTTATATAATTCACCACTTTCGTCAGACATGTCATGATAAATCTTTTAAAAAAATAGCAAAATCCGTCTAATATTTGCAATGCAAATTTAGTTTGTTGTTATTTACCGTGGCCAGATGGGCAAGCCATGTAAAATTAGCGTGGCGTTCAGCGTGTAAAACTATAGCTTGTTTATAAGCATTAAAAAAAAAGAGTTTTGAAGGAGATATATTTTTTTTATCATTATTGTAAAATTTTCAAATTAACGGTTGTACTGTAGTGGAATAATATGCACACGTCAGAACATTGCCTAAAATGTGAAACCTATAAGTTCTAGTATTGTATAAAGATACAGCGTTTATGGTGATGATGCGAATATAAAGAAAATAAACTTCAGCGAACATTAATGCATCAAAATATCATTTGAAAGACTCGCAACACTACATCATCTATTTCATAATTTATTTTACTAAATTTCTGTTTTTATAGTTCAGTGATTAGTTTTGAAGCAAATTTATTTGTAAAGAAATAGACCCAAGAAGTGTACGACGGATAATTAATAAATACTAACTGAACTATTGTATCAAGGGTCGTAGTTTTGCACTGATAAATCAGGACATCACATTTGGAAAAATGGGTAATTAGTATTGGAAAAGATTTGTTTCAATTTCTTAACATGAATTAATCATTTACTTTTTGAAATTTACTTAATTTTTTCCAAATGTATAAGTTTTTCCAAATTTATTAGTTATGGTTAGCGATGCCATCTGCTACGCTTCTTGAAAAAGATTTTATAAATTGATCGTGAACTAAACACAAAATAATTGCAAAATTTTGATTCATTCTAAATATACTTTAAACGCTTAACTACGAGTTGACAGAAAGAGTTATTTTGAAATATTTTGTAATTCATAAAGAGCAAAAATACTTTACTAAACGAAATTTCAAATGTTAAAAATATAAATCTTGCGGCACACTAAAAAAAAAAAACGTTCTCTACAAACCGGAGCAAGTTGAAATTTCTGATTGTCGCAGTCAAGGTGCATCAATTTCCTCAGCTGCAAAGTAATCATGATTGCTGATATGTTTGCAAATGAAGTAACTACTTTCGATTTTAAAAAAGTTTGCTCCTGATTTATCAAAACAATGACGATCCTTGTTATACACAACTAACTCTACAAAAAATGCAATGCATTTGAGGATTCTTTCTGATGAAAATGAAAGATTGTTGCCAAATACAGTGGATAGTATTAGCAAATATATAAAGTTTAAAAAGCAGTTAACTTTCTCAACAAATTTTACATCTTTCGATACAGTTTTGTAATATCAGAGTATTTCAATGCCAAGATTAAAATTCACTTTTGATATTTTAAAGGGAAAGTGCATCATCTTGGCGAAGAAAACAGAAGCAAACCATGCCTTGTAGAACAATATATGAATATGAATGAACTGAATAGTACAAGGTGTAGCTACTAAATAATGATACTAATACTATAGAATTTTTATAAAATAATTTAACAGTATTAATGTTTTGAATTTAAAAATACAACCGCAAATAGATTTTCCGAACCTCGTTTATCCGTATATATTTCTTTATCCGCATATACACTATTGCTGCCAACATTTGCGCTTGTTGTACAGGTTGACTCTCCATTTTCTGTGAGCAACAAATAAAAAAATTTCAAGTTGGTCATGTTGATTGTTTCAGTACTGCAAAAGTAATCTGATATTTGTAGATCAACTTTCTTTTCATTAGAATTTCAAACATTATCGAAGAAATTAAACAATTAATGCAATGAATCTCTATAACTTAAATATTTTGGTTGTTCGAAGTTGGTTCGATCCCAATAATTTATGACAAAGATGGCGAGCTTTTTTCGATCAGTGCGTCGTTTAAATTATGGTTCATTATTTTAAATTGCTATATTTTAAAAAAATCAATCAGCCACTGCTTGATTTTCAAATTCTAGAATTACATCACGTAGCTATATTTGCAGTTTCGTTATGATTTACTGAGACAACGCGGTTTTTTACAATCGAATATATAGAATTCATTTGATGAAAATTTATCTGCTCACCAAACTGAGGAGCAAATTTAATATATTTAAAGAATTTGCATAATTTGTAATTTAATTTAGGTTCTCTCTCAACCAATCGTCAAACAAGTAAGCAAGAAAAGACTAATCTACCCCTAGACATGAAGACCTAGACATCTGAAAAGTGATCCTCCTACACAACTTAATTAAAAAATGATTTAAGTCTCAAGTTCATGATCGTGCAAGTAAATTCCATCTTATTTCAAAATTAGTATGCATCATGCTTAGAATGCACCGCAAATCAGTCAAGATAAAAGAACGAGTACACTCAGCCTTTAAAGCTATATATCTCAAAATAAACAAAAGTGAAGTTGCCTCGCAATCAATTAAAGCCTCCTCTTATTAGTATGTTTTGCTTGAGTGCCATTGCGGTTGCCTTTAATGGCTATAATAGATTTAAACAACGTCCCTTTTAACCCAAACTTAATTGGGGTAATTGGTAAAAGTCAGAAGGGATTTGGAGTGGGAGTGTATTCCAATTAAATGATGCTACATTAAATGAACGCTTAACAAAACATCGTAAAGTCGTGGAGGTAAATTGAACAATCTTGATTCATACGAATTTTTTTGAATGGAATTTTCGTATTTAGCAGCTGAAGGCCCTAAGTCCGAGAATTGTTAATTTAAATTTTATAAAAACGATTTATTTTGAATTCTCCATTTTGATTCCAAAAACTGAATTCTATGCCCACTTTGAGTTTAGTTAACTAATACCCAAAATTTCACCTTTTTTATTCTAAAAATATCTCAGTGAAAACTTTTCGCAATATTTTTGTAGCATATTGTCCATCCGTGAAACAAAACTACAAATTAACACATTCAACAGAAATATATTTTGACGAAATGGCTAAATATTCACCTTTTGAAACAAAAAATTGACGCCAAGCAATTGTTGGACATTAATAAAAACTGCTGACACATCTTTCCATTTACATCTTATGAGTTAAATGGAGGTGAAAATTAATAACTAGTTGAGTTATTTAATAGCCACATCTTGTAAATCGTTGATATTGTTAATTGACCAATAGAAATCAAAGTATGATTCATGTTGCTTGACTACAGTAGTTCAAAACTTTACAAGGCTTTTAACTTATCTTAAATCGTTTTGATGGACATATTTCGACATGAGAAACTTTTCATAGTCTAAAGAATTAATATTTTTCCTCTGTATTATGTAGTAATATATTTTTGGTCTCTTTATAGAAAGTATGTTACTTATATCCAGATAAAACTGTCTTTACAAGAGATGATGATATTGATTAGCAAAATCTCATACTTATGTAGTCACTCTAAATAAAATTTCATTTATTATTTGCAATTCGCTTATTATTTATTTGTTTTTATTTTAATACGATACCTAATGGAAGACAACGGTTGGTCGTAAGCAAAAATTGTAAGTAGAATTATATATTTTCTAACGAATTACATTTTGGGAATTAGAATAAATTTATAAACAATAGAACAAATTGATATATATATTAGAGTAAATTTATATATATTAAGATATATGTGTTCGAGAATTAATATAATGATGCAGAATTGCAAAATACAATTAAAGAACATAATTAAAGAACAAAATATTATTTGAGAATTGACGTAGAGATAAAAAAAAGTATAGTTGGAAAAATTTATTAATTATTAACTATTGATAGTAAATAAAAACATAAGTAAACAAAACTAAAGTCAGAGGTACGACAGACCAAGACCTAATGTACCATCCCTGATTTCTTGACATTGAGCTCTGTACTAAAGTTTTAATAAAAAAAATGCTAGGTAATTATTGCTTCAGAAAATATGGCCAGTACTTTAGTTTTAAAAAATATTGCAATGCCATATTATCATATCAAAATATTACTACTTTATATTTTTATGTTATATTTTGGTGAACACAAATGTTTTGTTTCAGCAAAATAATTTTGAAAAAAAAATGAAGTAATTTTATTATCATTTTTTTAAAACTTAAATAAGTAATTTAAATAAAACTAAAATTTTAAAAAAATATTGTGATCTTTTTTTTTTAATCTGAAAATCATGGTGTCAATTGAAAATCAAATCTATCGTGGATCTGAANGATTATGAAAAATTATATTCGCTAAGAAATTATCAATTTGCTCTCTCAAATATTTTAACTATAATACAATATACTCTCGATATCTCAAAATTGAAGGGATGCTAAAAAAAATTTCGAATAACACGTTCAGAACTAAATATGTTCTATAAAGTAGAAAAATATATTCTAAAAATTGATATTTCTTTTAGTTATCGATGCTGACAGTTTATTATGAAAAATTATATTCACTAAGAAATAATCAATTTGCTCTCTCAAATATTTTAATTATAATACCTCTCAATATCTCAAAGTTGAAAGGATGCTAAAAAACAATTTCGAGATAGCGAGTTTTCGAGATAACGCATTCAGAACTAAATATGTTCTAAAAAGTAGAAAAATATATTCGAAAATATTACTCT